AACATGGAGAAGGGAACTAGAGAGTGACATTAAAAAGCTGGGGGAGGGCATGGGAAGAGCTGCATGCGATGTTAAAGGACAGAACGAGTTGGTTGAGGGCCTATGCTCCATTGTGGGTTAGAAGGACAGAAGAAGAAAAGTGCCAGCACCGTTTGTTTCTTCTATGAAAAAAGCACTGATCATCATCATCATCATCATGTTGTGGCGTTATATGTCACATTGTGCTGGTAGTCTGTTACTCCATCCTATTCTATGTTGTGCAATCATTTTGATGTGATGGTCATAATCCAGTCCAGCACCTTTAGCTTCTCTCATCATTGTCCGTTGCAGGGTTTCTCCAGAGCATCTGTTTAGGGCGTGCGAGTATTTAAGAGAACCCACCCTGACATCACAAGTCTCAGACAACCTTAACATTTCAGGAAATAACTAATTATGGAGATTTAAGTCTTGGATCCAGGAAAGCCAGATTTACAGCACTAGTATGCCTTCTGATTCGCAGGTGAGCTTCTGGCCGCTTGACCACAGCGGCTCCATTGAGTGTATGTGTGTATATACATATACGTGTGTGTGTGTGCACACACGTATACATGCATTCCCACTCTGGCATGCACACGTGTATATATATATATGTAATTTACATGTATTTCTATAGATGTGTGTGTGTGTGTGTTATACCATCTTATCTTATATATATATATAGATATATACGATATAGTATATATAATATTATTGTAATTACATGTATGTCTAAATATGTTTGTTGTATACACACACACACACACACTTCACATATATATATATATATATATATGTAATGTAAATGGATGTTTTCGATATATTGTGTTACATATGTATGTATCTATATATATATATATCTATCTCTATATATATATCTATATATTTATAGAGATCTATATATATAGAGATAGATATCTATTATATATATACCAATATACCGAGATACATAATATCCTATACATATATATATATATATCTATACTCTAACATTTTATCTATATAAGCATATCTATCTATAGATATTAATCTATACTATATAATATACATACATATACACACAACAGATCTTATAGACATATATATGTAATGTACATGTATGTCTATATTTATGTGTGTGTGTGTGTGTATATGGTGCATATTAGGTCCCTCCCCAACAACCATCACCAGGTACTAGAGTACCGGTCCAAACCACTCGTTTTGGTGCAATTATTATTTCTTAGCCAACATATATTTGGCACAACGAAACAAGACCACAATTATATCCGATACTGTTCAGAGAAGGGTTAACCTGGTTGATTTTTTGTTTTGTTTTCATAAATGGACAGACAGTACCTTTGGTAATTCTCAGCCGCGTCTTTTCTGGGTGTGTCTAATTTTGGTCACTATTATTGGGTTCTTACCCGCAGAGGACACTAGCTTACACATGACTGGTGCGGCCGTTACAGGTGCCCAAATTATAACTTCTTTGTATGCTGAACCGGATATCTGGGATTTGCCTTGTTGGTCTGCAGTGAATATTGAGATTAATTAATTTTAGTATGGTATGGTAAACTTTTAGATAGCAGCCCGAATGGGACATACCAATCGATCGAACGATCATGTCATGTTATGTTCTCACAGTCGACGTCACAGTACACTGGAATTCCTATGCGTGATCAGGTCTCCGCTGCAGTAGTCACTCCAAGGTACCTGTACTGATTGTTCCCATGAGGAGTTGGTCATGATGTCTCCTATCTCAGCCTCGAATGTGGCAAATACGTGCTTTATCATGCTTTACTCCCAGCTAGCGCAGTCTTGTTAGTGTCAAAGATTCGTTATTATCAATTAGCCCAGTCCGTAGAGCGCTGGTGATATCTGACCTGCCCATGGCTTTTCGCGCCTGCGTGGGTGTATTGCTTGCCATTTGGTCCACTCGCTTTCCCGTGTGGGTCTGGGGTCTAATTGTGGAGAAAACAAGAATAAACCCACTGCCTTCCCAACAAGCATGTCGTAGGAGTTGTCTAATTGTGGAATGCCTTCATCTTCAAAGTGCATCAGCCCGAGTGGCAAGGAACAGCCAGCTGCACACAAATAAGCCAGCAAAACGGATGTACATGCAAAAGTCAGGCCCTGGCACAAAGCCAAAATTTCAAATGGACGAAGAACCAGGACTTTCAGCTGGAGCTTACAGTAGGTGAACAAAGAAGAAGTGGAAAGTCTGCTAGCTCATTACCTTTTACGCTGGCATGATCAGGTGTGTAGATCCAGATGATGGAGGTTAGGTGCGATTTGCGAATGCTTTCTATCCATTCAGAGCGTTTACTACCTGCTATAATTGTCTGAAGCATTTTCATGGGGTCTGATGCAACAACTGCATGTGTGGCTGTTTGTTCTGCTGACAATGTTAGGGCGATGGAAGCTACAATTATTTCCATGGGCATACTTGATAAAGTGACCTGGTAAGCGCAGCTGACCTCTGTTATTGTTTTCTCCACCACTTGTGCTGGGTAGGCCCATAATGATCTCAACCTGCACTTCACAGACCCATCAGTGTAGATAATGATGTCTGGGTGTCAATGCTGATCTATCCCTGACGTTATCTCTGTGTCTACAGCTGCAGGAATTTGAACTCTGTAGTATCTTTCTGGTGTGACGACCCCTTAAGAAGGCCATGCATGTTGAAGATATTCAACATTGAAGGGGAAACAAAGGCGAACTTTTAATCAGGTGGCAGCTGGTACTATTAGCATATCACCTCCTCGTTGGTTACTGAAGAAGGGGACGGATCACTTATGGGAATTTCCCTAGTGTACTGATATCAATTCTTGATTAATTCATTCGTTCATTTATTCAGCCAACGTGGATGTATGCCAATCAACCAATCTGGGCCAACTTGTCCTACCTTTTTCTATGTTCTTTTGCTCATTCCATTTCCTCCCCAAATTAATCACTTTTGACTACAATGATAATCTTCTTGTTTCTCTTTATTTACGTGGCTCTATGGATTCTAATGAAAGGACATTCTAATAAAAGTATTACATGTTGCCTGTTTGTATATTCTACCCAGTGTCAGCGTCATTGTGTCACATGTTGATTCGCTAGATAATGTTTTTCTTGTCTTTGCCAAAGCACCAGTTAGTCTGTCAAACCATGAAACTTCTTTCACACTGTGCAGGCACTAAGTAAGTAAAGAAGCACCAACTGCACAATAATATTTCACAACTTTCAAATCACACAAAAAAAAGCACATCACACATGCCGCATTTCGTTGACTTTATTTTAAAGTTTAACAGTGCACAAAATTGTCACACCCCCCCCCCCTCCTTTTCCTTTTTCACAACGTGATTTATTATTTTATGAAAATAGGCACAATCGGCATATCATACAATGTTTTCTCTATTTTGCCCTTTCCTTAGGTTTTCAGTTTTTACAACTGTATTGTCACACTATCACCTCACTTCCTGAGAAACAAGATCGTTAAAACTTTCTCATAACATAATTAATCAAAGGTCTACATTTTTCTCTTCTGTCAGTCTTGCCGTCTTGTGTTTGTGTGTGTGTGTGTATGCATGCGTGCGTGCGTGTGTGTGTGTGCGCGCGCGCAAGTGAGTGTCGGTCACAAAAACTGCTGCCAAACAGATTATAGTATCGACGGGGCATTTGCACACGGCTGCCTTTTCTGGGTCAACAGTTTTAGGTTCATTTGTCATCTTTCAACAGTTAAATTACTAGGATGCCCTGTTCAACTTGCATTTGCAGTAAAAACCAGTAAGGCACAAGGGAAATCACCGTTAAGTCACAGGCTTGAAATTAACTGACGAGTTCTTCACCGGCGACGGACCCCTTAACATAGTTCATCATCAAATATTGTACACAGCCAGGGTTAATAAAATAATAAAATGCCTGGCGTTACCAATGAACACACCCGCAGATTCACAATATAGAATGAGTTCATATAATTCTTTGAATAACGGACGTATCAGTCTTTCTCTGTTTCAACGTTCGCCCTTAGAAAAGCCGGTGTGCTGTGGTGTACACCTAGACTATATTATATAATAATTAACAAAGAGACAATCTATTGATTGGCACTCATAGAAAGAAGCAGAAAGATAGAAGGACACCGTAGATAACATAACAATCGAAAGCCTTGGTTACCGTGCCGGGAATCGAACCTGTCACCTTAAGATGGCGTGTGTGCCTCGCTATGTAGACAAGCGTATTAAAAACACAACCAACTACGCAACACCCAAAAAAGTGTCTATGATATGTGTACCTTTCGGCCCCCCACATCTGATTTCAGCAAACCACTCCCCCCCCCCCCCATGAGTCGCCGTGAACGACATGCCTGTTGGGGTGAGGGTATATTCCCCTACCCCCCCCCCCTTTCCACAATGGGATCCCTGAACCCACACAGGGAGCTGTATCAATTAAATCGATATATTTTTCTTCAGCGAGGCACCTTTGTCCTTTGGAGGTGACAGGTTCGATTCCCTGAATGGTAACTACTGCTTTCGATTTTTATGTTTGTCTAATGTGTTCTCTTATCTCTTTATCGCTTCCTATGAGTGCCAATCAGTTCTTCTATACGTCTTTATTACATCCACGGCCTTAGGGGTTCCTTCTGTAAATTTCTGTATCTTCCGACGGATTTTTTTTTTGGTTTGCTTTACAGCCATGAATACGAAGAATATGACAATAGAACATACAAAAAGAAATTGTACGTTTATGTGAACTGCCTTTTATTATACCACTTTTACGGTATAGGTCTTTGAGCCTGCGGATTTACGGCCGCATGGCTAGTACTGTCGACACAACTATGCAGGTGAGTATTTTATTTTGCCCCCGACACAGGGATTAGAACCAGGATCTCCCGCCCTCCGCTCTAACCGTTCGGCCAGCCGCTACTTGTTTGTATGAACATCGCCGCGTATGTTGATACTAGATTTCGTTAAACTAAACATGGCAACTTTAACAACATTATATGTGCTAATATGTTTTTAGTGTCAGTGATTACTGCCACGCATGATGCCAGCTTGGGTTGACCCCAGACTTTCTGATACCGTCCGCGGAATCAAAGTTGACGTGCATGCGTGGATATCCGAACACGTACAAGGAATGGGCGGGAATACATTGTTAGACCTCACAAAATGTCTCGCTGGAGATACGATGCTGCCAGTGTTAGCGGAAGTTAGATGTTTGCTTCCGTAGTGCAGGCTGTAAACGCTAGGCAGACTGCAAGGATTTGGCAGAGACGGCAGGTGATAGTTTGGTGTTGGAAGATGCCCCGGCAAACATGAAGAGTGCAAGGAAGAAGATAAGTTAGTTTGTTGGGTTATGGGAAGGGTGAAATGTGATGGCACGGGCAATGGTTGTGGATTTGGTGTGCCGAAATGTTGCTGGTGGGCGATAAATTGTGGGAGGTACTGCGATGCTGCTCCAGACTTATAGATATTGTCCAACAATTGTTTCATTTCTTCCACAGATTTGTTCAGCATTTGGATATAATTCTTCGCCAAAGTCAGAGTGGCAATTTTGCTGAGCTTTCTTACTGAAGGACCTTTGGCATAAGGCATGCTGTCTCTAAGAGAGTCCATGGCAGAGTTGAGGTCGTGCATTCTTCTACGCTCTCTGCTGTTTATCTTTGATCTCAGCTCTCTGATTTCTCCGCCAGAGAATCCATGATGACCCAGTCGAAGCTGAGGATGAGTGCTTGAATAAATATCATGTAGTCTCGAGCATCCATCCTTGGTTCCTGTTCTTGATATCGATCTCATTTCAGCGTCGTTGGTGGAAGTTCTGTTGGTAAAGTTCCCAGCATCATAGGAGCCGGTGATTTCGTCATCAGTAACGTCGATGTTTTCTGTGCAGTCGCTGTCCGAGTTGACCGAGGACTCTGGCGAGGTCATTCTTCTGACAGAGAGTGAGTGCTCTGAATGCGACATGACGTCAGCTGTGGACAAAGTAGGGATGTTTGTTATGTTCAGCATACAATGTCAATAATATACGATAAATAAAGCAAAGAATCCTAATCCACAATCTACCTCTTCCTGTGTACTGGGCATATAGGGCTAGGCCTATATTTTATTGACAAATCGGCACTCCAGGGATAATGGGGTTAACATAACGCCAGCGACCTTTACTTCCCAAGACTAAGCCTGGTACCTATATAAAGCTGGGTCAACCTGAAAGCCTAGGTCATTTCTGAACACAAACGACCTTCCGATTCGTGGGCGAGCGTCTACCCGCCCTGGCTCATCCATGACCTCCAGTTTGTGTGTGTGTGTGTGTGTGTGTTTCTTGTTTGTTTTGGACTGTCGAGGTCTGCCTTTACTACGTTATGAGGATGTGCTCAAGCGGACATTAATTATGCATGAGCTTAGACAGATTTATTGGAATAGAATGTCATGAACAGGGTCGAATTAAAAACCTTTGCTGTCCTAAGCACATAACATATGTTGATTCCCCTCCCTCCTCCTGAGCCGTCTCAACAGCGATATAGGTCCCTGGATAAACCAGTGTGCTGGGGCCCCTACGACACCCACTCTCAGGAATGAAATGTGTATGGTCACTTAACACACATAGGTTAGCATGGGACTCCTATGCTTCTACCATTTTTCTTTTTAAATTGCAAAGTCTTTAGGTAGGTCCTCTAAACTAAACATACCTAACGTATCCGCCTTTATGCTTAGCGTGCATTGTTGTTCTTATGTTGTTGTTTTTTTTTAAAACTTTTTAAATTCGTTGTCTGTGGCTTAGGTGTTGCGAGCGGCCTTCTTAGTGCGCGAAGCCAGGTTCGATCACAGCTGCGCACGGTTTGTCTTGCGCTGGCTTCGACGGTGGTACGGAGAGCCTATTGTTCAATGCAATAACAAACTACTGGTGGTAAAATGTGCCTAGACATAAACCACAACAGCCCCCCCCCCCCACTACCCCCTCCCCCCAATGGTGAATTTGGTTCCACAACGTCCTGTAAAGGATACGCAACTTACTAATACATCGTCTATCTGCTGTTATCATGGTACTCAAGTGTTTAGACGCATCAACTGGCTTGCATTGTCCCATTTACTTTGATGTTGCATTTCGTATGGTCCACTTTCTGTGTACTCGCCACTACCTCTGTCAGCAGTATCGCAGATTGTTCACAATATGCCAGCCAGTCGATATTCCTGGTATATTATGTATGGATCTAATTACTACTTTACTGTACACATTGAATAAATCGGGTGATAGTACACATCCATGCCTCATATATTGTTTATGCTTTGAAAAATTCCAGCTTGGTTGGTTATTCTTACAGCTGCATCTTGTTGCCAGTGCAGTATATGTCTGGTAGTCTGGTAGTCTTAGTTTCAGCTTCATAGCAAACGGGTAGCCCCATCTTTGCTCCGCTCCTGTGCCAGCGAAAAAACACTCAGAATGTCTATCACAGTCCCTTGTGGAAAGATTGACAGACTGCTGTCTCAGCATATCTAGCATACACTCGCATTAAAGCATACGGTAGCCATCCGAAGTGCTAGCACAAACAGTTCAACATTAGAAATGCAGTTCATCATTGATGATAGCAGAACTTGTCGCCAACAGATCAGCAGTTGCCCACGCGATCAATTGTAATCACATCCGGGCACCGCCAACATTGACGACCGGCATCACGCCATTTTCTGAATCTCCAATTCACACCACGTTGGTCACAGTCGAAAAAACATTCCAAATGCAATCCGCAGCTCACAGGGTCACGCCATGCATTCAACTCAGAAGCTGGGCGACGAAACTATATCCAGTCTACAAATGGAGCAAAAATACTCCGGCCACCGTCCGGCAGAAGCAAAAAAATTTGCCTCCGCTCCGAACAGCGCCGCTGTCTAGCGTCCATTTTAACCGGCAGTCTATGTTTTTCCCCCAGATCTTTACCCTCATTGTTTAAGGTTCTCAAAATTCGAATAATTTCTTTATGTTATACTTTATCAAATGCTTTAGTGTAATCAATAAAGCATAAATAAAGATCTCTGTATCCTTGAAGGAGCTAATCTGACTTAAAAAACCGTTTTGATATTGTTTTATACAGTGTTATGGTTTCTGTTCGTGCAAGGTGATAATTCAGCTCTTTTAATATTAATGTCCTATATATTTCTTATCAGTCTTTCAGTCTTTCTTATCGTTAATTTATTGAGGCCACCCCTACAGGACTGCATGTTACTATACAAATATAGCATGTCTAAGCACAATTGCTTTACACCGTTATGTATGTAAGTAATAGAGCCATTTCTAAGCCATATGAAATATTGGGCATATAAAGCTATTGTGCGCACGTAAAAAAAATCTTATGGCAGCTGGAAATCGAAACGAGTAACCTAACGACGCTGCCCGGGCAAAATTTGGAGTTAAAAATCTACACAAAGTATTTCAGGATCCTCGCCGGTGAACTGGAGTTCGTGCACTGCGCTGAAAAATCTTCAGACTCAGGCTTGAGTTAGAAGTAGAATGGAACACTTATGGGTTATTACCCTTTTGCTGTGATGTTAATACTTTTTTTTTTTTTTTTTTTTTTTTTTTTTTTTTCTTTCTTTTTTTTTTTTAAACTGTCTTTAAAAACATTTATTCTACCAAATATGAAGCGGTTAAGGAATGAATATACTCACACCTTTACAAGAAATCCTCTTGACACAAAATCAATTTATGATAAGAACAGCGTGAAATGATAATCGTGATGACTGCTATGACCTGACTATAAATTACACACCAAGATTCCTTGGAGAACGAACGAAACACCATCTGGTTTTTATTTTTTTTTACAAGTCAGGAATCAGATCAAAGAAACGAATGATATCCAGAGAATGAAGAAAGAATTTAAGCAGATTCGGTAGCTCCTTCCGTCTCGTCTGTGCCGTTTGATGACTCTGGTCGTTTTTCTGCAGCACTCTCAGGTTCTGTATTTGATTCGGCTGCATCTGAACTGGCTTCATTTGTGGTTTCTTCTATTGTTTCCTCTGACTTTTCTTCCTCTGTAGTTTTTTCTTCTACCTCTGGAGACTCTTCGGACTTTGCCTTCACATCTTCCACTGTTTTTGCAACAATGGGCTCTGTGGTGGTTTCTGGTGTCTCAACAGCAACTTCGTCTTTTGTTCCAGGCATGATGGAAATTTATAAAATGTAAAAATCACAAAGCGACGAGAGAGAATGAAAACGCGCTGCTAGCTCCACAAAGAGGAAGATGCAAACATCTGAGCCGTTCCCACATAATAATTGCTAATCAAATCAATTATGAAATCAAAACAGGCAGACAGACTGGTTCTGCAACATCTGGTGGCTGACTGATGTATGGTCAGCCAGGGGTCATCAAAGTGTGATCATCATTCGTCTATAAAACAACATATGAGCCGCTTCCACATAATAATTACTAAACGCACAATATCTCAAATGCGAACAGGCAGACAGATTGGTTCTGTATCATTTGGTGGCTGACTGATGCATGGTCAGCTAAAGGTCATCAAAGGCCTTTGAGAACAAAGCAACAGTGCGGAGACATATAGATCACCGCGGTCTAAAGAGAATGAAACAGTTCTGTGGCGAGTGGACAGGGACAAAAAAAAAAAAAAGGGGGGGGGGGGGGTTGGAAGGGAACTAAGAGATCTAGGAGACGCTCAATAGTCAGGGGAAAGACAATGTGAACATACATACAGTCAGCTACTGGAGCTCTGCACTGGCTCAGCACTTTTGTGAATGACCCGAGTGCTTTGGTGTTTATTCTTATCGCAGCTCCACTTAGCTCTGTCTGAAAAGAATCCACCCATTTGAAACATTTAGCTCCACACCTAAATATTGAACTCCCAACCGTTTTTATGCTTAACAGTATTTGTGAACTAGAATTAGGGTAATCACACTGTCGTGAACTGAAAACGGAAAAGTCCACAAAACTACTTTTCACTTTAAAAGGGGTCATCACAAGCAAGACAGTTTAACGCCCCCCCCCCCTTCCCGCCCCCCCTCCCCCAACCAGGTCAACCAATGTGTAAGAGTTATTTCCTGGCTCACGCAATGGTGCTATTAAAACGAAACATTATGTTTGTCAACTGCAATGGGGAGGTGGGGGGGGGGGGATCAAACGCTAAAATGAAAATTACTATCAACTTATTTCGGCCATTTAAAGTATCTAAAACTATGAAATATGATAAGATCCATATAAATAACTATAAATGCATATTAATGCTCGGATTTGTATGTGGCACCAACGGTACGACTAAGGCACACCTTGAAAACGGGACTGTCACCGGGAAAATGTGACTATGGTCACCCTAACCAGAATTTAAAAGAACATAATTTTTTTTTAAAAAGTGGTCTTACCTCAGACAGAATCTGGATATCTCTTGTCTTGACTAGATCGTGAAAAACAATCAACGCTCAGAGATGGTAGTTGTCGCAAAAATTATTAACGTAAACTCGAAAATATTTTGAATATAAACTATGCCCGCTGAGCCAACCACTGGCTAACTAACCAGTTTAATCTTTTAACAGCAGTTAACAGTCAAACTTCATAACAAAATGGACCCCAGCTCCATTTTCAAGTAGCCCAGGGCAGTGAAGTATTTCACAGTCGTGCGATTTGCCAAAGAGTGTTCAGGGCGTCACACTGAAGAGATGGTGTCCTTTCAAAGTCCAGTACCTTCTTGTAGCTGTCAGATTTCTGGTGGCCAACGGTTGATTGAACTAATAGCCCCACTTCTCATTAAGAACTGGGCATGTGTACAAAAGGGTGGAGGCGGGACTACTGCGGCGTTTACCCCGGGTGTCTCCGCCCACCCGAGTACCTGTTTTCAACAAGGTTGACAGATTGGGAGTCGCACGATCGCTGTTAAACTTCCATCGTCATCATCATCAAGTTTCGTGTGTTCTTCTATCTATCTACTTCTTTCTATGAGTGCCGATCAATACACTTTATGTTACTTGATTAATTCATAATATGTAACGGCCTGAAAGGTTCCCCCCTCTGTTTATTTATAGAAATGACGTATACCCACCAGAACCTACCAGTCAAATACCTTTCTTAAATGTTTGTGTATCTAGACAAAGCAATCAAGTCTACTGTGTTCGTAAATTGTTGCTATGATTGTTATTCGACATATGCCTTGTTAATATAAATTTCTGTAATCTATGATGCCATTTAAATGGTTTGAAATGAATTCTGTCCGTATTCCATAGTTGTGGATTTCAAGTTGTACGATAGACATGGCCAATAAGACACCTTTTTTGGGGGGGTGGGGGGGGGGGTGGGGGTGGGGGGGGGTGTCTAGTTGACCATGTTTTTAGTGCACTTGTATTCAATGCGAATTGCAGACGCCGTCTGAAGGTGACAGGTTCAGTTTCCGGCACGGTAACTATAGCTTTCGATTTGTATGTTGTCTAGTGTGTTCTTCTATCTATCTACTTCTTTCTATGAGTGCCGATCAATACACTTTCTGTTACTTGATTAATTCAAGTTTCGTGAGAGATGGCATCTGTGGTAATTTTTTATTTGTAATTTACTTTTTTTTGACTCATGCGGTATATACAGCAACTACTGCCCTTATTGGTTTCCCTTTAAATGTTATACTTTTTTTTTTAAACTTGGGTGTGACCTATTCACTTGTTACATTAAACTACTGTTCCGCAATTGTTACTTTTATTTTCTCTGCCTCGGAATGTAATTTTGCTCGATTTGAGCTGAGCTTTCAGTAGTAACATAAAAATATAATAGGATCTTCCTCTTCTAATTTTTTGTTCTATTTTCACCCTTTAACATTTTCTGAAGTCAAAATCTCTATCTCGAAAAACCAAGATCAAAATATATATATAAATAACGTTGAAAAGATTAGTCGTTTCATGTGGCTCTGAAACTTGGAGCACAAACTGAAAGAGATTGAGGCTTATTACATGTTTTCGGAAACAGAGTCTTAAGATGAATCTTTGGACCCATCAAAGATGTAAACAGCGGGGAATGGAGAATGAGAAGCAACAACGCAATTCATAATTTGTTTAAATCACCATTGATCACGAGCATCATGGGAGCTAAGAGGTTAAAATGGCTGGGGTATATTGAGAGAATGTCAGATGACAGAGAGGTAAAAACTGTATACACAAGTGAGCTGAATAGTCGTAGACCACGAAGCAGACCAAAAAGACGATGGAGAGATAATATCGAGATAATATTGAGATAGTTGGTGTCACCAACTGGAAAGAGAAGGCCAACCAGAGAGATGAATGCAGGCGGGTGATATCTGCCGTATTGAGCCTCAAGGGCTCGAAATGCTGAAGAGAGAGAGAGAAGAGGTTTGGCCGTCGGTGGGTGATGTGGTCAAAATCACAACCGTCGTCTTGACTTCATATGCTTTTACCTGAAACCCGTTGTAGGCTGGTTGGACCTGGGAGCGGATTTAAACCCACCACCTTCAAGCCCGCAGGCGAGCGTCTTGCTGCTTGGCACGGCGTCTACCTGGTGTAAAAAGTAAAAGACCTTATCCGCGCCTTCAGGCGTACTGAGCATATAGGGCTAGACCTATATTTTATAGACCAAACAGCACTTGGTGGGTGATGTGATCAGCATCACACGGGCTGCCTCTACTGACCATGACTGTACATGGTACCCACTCAAGGCTGAGTCGGCCTGGGAGTCAAGGTCATTTCTGAAAAAAAGTTCGGCTCCGTCAGGACACGAACCCACGACTTTCCGATCCGCAAGCTGGCGTCTAGCCGTTAGAACACGGCAGCTGCCACCTAGTGTTTATTGCTGTCAAAAGCCTTTAAGTGTGTTGGAAGTGTTTATTTGTAAACATAATCTAGTGAACAGTGTTGCCACTTTAAATGTTTTACATCCAGATTTAGATGTTTTTCCTTGCATTTAGATGGCGTTTTTGACGTTTAGATGGTAGATGTTTTTCTAGATGTTTTTTGGAGTGAATTTACCAAATCTAACCTAAGAAACAGGATGAAATTTAACCTCTTAAATGCTATCTTGACAATAAAATTTTGCATGATATGAGTAGGAAAAGGCTGTTCCACTTATCAGCTCCATGATTGGGTATTAAAAGAAATTGGAACAGCTAAAGCATACCAGAGTCATTTTGGATCTGAAGCTTAAACTTAATCATCCAAGCTAAGTTTATCCTGTGGATCTTGTAAGGCAGACTTCAGTGAAGATGAGGACATGATTCTGTAGGGTAAGTCATATCAATTGCTATGTAATTTGTGGCTCTTTCCATTTGGATGTTTTTTCTAGATGTTTTCCACGCAAATTTAGATGTTTGTAGATATTTTTTGACTCCGTTTTGGATATTTTTTGTCAAAGAAAAGTGGCAACACTACTAGTGAAACAGAAATCATAACGAGACCAGGAATGGATAACTATATCTTCAAGAAGTAGCGAAAATTATTGACAGCTAAAGAGATGAACTGCTGGAGCAGCACGCATCGTCCATTGAGAAGCAAAGAATGAAAATTGAAACACTAAAAGGCAGGGGAAGACCGACTAGAAGATGGATTGAAGGAGTTACTGACACCTTAAGACTGCATAACATCACGGCATATCAAGTGACCGAGCGCGCCCTGGCTCGGCTGTTGATCGTTTGATGAAGTTCGACGCACAGCGGCATAAGCAGATATTGACAAAAGAAGAAGAAGAAGGGAGATTTACAATGCACTGAAAATGAGTATCTTTAGATCTTTTGTTAACTCTTCTTCTTCTTCGCGTTCACCGGCTGTAAACTCTGGCGGAAAGTTCTGGTTGTTCGTTCACTTTTGGACTGCAGTCCTCCTGTTCCAGAACCTGAGTGTTGCGAGTGCATCCGTTTGACAGATCTGACTAATTTATATGCAGACTGGTGGTTCCTTGCCTCTCATGTAGATGCACTCCGACTTCGAAGGAAGCTCCCAATTAGTCGACTCTTACGACATGCTTTTGGGCAGGCAGTGGGTCTATTCTTGTTTTCCATATAATAGAGCCTCAGAAACCGCACGGGGATTTTTTGTATACCCAATCGTGCCGTATGGTGCAGAAACCTGGACAATGAACAATGAATTAGAAGAAAAAAAACTGCTGAGTTTTTTGGAGTTGGAGAAATGCAGAAGTATAGATAGTACTGAAAGAAAACAAAAGCAATCAA